GTGGTGCTGGAGTGTGGCTGGATCATGCAGCTAGTATTTGGGGCATGATGGCGGCAGCTTGCAGATATTCTTGGTGTACTGAGGGCAGTAGGGGATGGGTGGGCAGTAGGTCTTCACTGGGGGGCAGCAGGGCTGCACCGGGGGGCAGTAACGCTGCACTGGGGGGCAGAAGGTCTGCACCGGGGGGCAGCACGGTGTCACATAGGTGTACTTGGGCACAGGGACCCTCTGGATGGTGTAATGGCAGGAGGGCTCCGAGTCGTGGCAGGAGGAACGGGAGCCATGGCAGGAGGTCTCGTGGCTGTGGCAGGAGGACCCGCGGGAGCACATCTTTATGGAGTGTTGGCAAAGCTGTAGGAAGAAAAAGAAAGATGTCATGCTGGTACAGCAGCTCCCCTCTAAATTGCTGCATCCTTCCTTGTGTTTTTTGTGGGTTATTCTGGGGAAGTTCATTCTCTGCTTTGTAACACGTGGGAGATTCTAGCTCTGAAATGGATAACGCTGTGTCCTTTTGGGGTTACTCGAGAGTAGTCCCACTGTGGTGGAAATTTTCCAATCAAGACATTGCTGATGGCATTTGAAGATTGAAATTTACAACTGGTACTCAGCAGTGATTTAGTTGTTATGTTTCTCCCTCAATTTCCAAGGAGCTTGGGAATTAACTCCATGCTAGATCCCAAAGGTACCCAGTCACAGATTAAAAACAAGAAAGGTAAGGTCTGAACACAGAACCAGTCAGCCAAAATCCAGTGTGATTTCTGATTCCAAGTGTTAGATAATTCAATATAACCCAACTTACCCTTTGCAGGAGCAGGGAAGAGAGCTGAGAAGTGAAGCTGAATGAAGGAACAGCAGTGGATATGGACTTTTATATGCTCCCAATGGGCTTGTCCAAGAGATTATGCATTCTTTGGCAATGCTGACAATCAACCACGTTCATACTTATCTTCTGTGTCTGTTTTTTTTTTTTTTTTTTTTTTTTTAGCATTTCCGATTTGACACGGTGAGGAAAACCAATTATTATTTTTCCCTTAACATGTTAATAGGCAGTGGATTTCCTAATCTGCTTTATAAGAGGATTTTGTAGGCAGTTAAATATTTATGTATTATGAACGAACCTAACCCTGGAGTTAAAGAGTGATTTGTCATTGGGCAACTAGCGTTGCATCAACGAGCAGTTCAAAGCGTTGACTCCTACCCTGCCTGCTGCCCCTTGGTCGGTGTGGCAGACTCACATTTTTGCTGATACATCTGTCGTGACACGAGGGACATTAATTAACACCCGCAACTCCATGGACCATCCTTAGAGGGAAGTCCTCCTGACTGGCCCAAGCGCACCTAATGCCTAAACGCTGAAGATGACGTTAGAAGGATGTTCTCAATTCCAATTTTTTCATTCCACTCATGAGTTCACCAACGATTTGCTGTTATTCCCTTGTGCCATCATGCTGTCTTATTTACATCCCTCCTAGATGACAAGGGTATCAAATCCCAGCCATTAAGCCAACTACTGGCCAACACACATCTATTTTCAGATCCTAAATCACATTGGGCTCCTGATTTACTTGAACAGTTCTGTAGTTTTTACTTGCTGCAGTGTTTCACCTTTTCTCTTACAGTGCTCTACAACTTGACTTTAAGGCAATAAAATGTGTATTCATTCCTATACTGTGATTATTATCCAGGTGGGAGCTGCAGGACCTTCAGGGAGCAACCCTTGGATCAGTGCTCCTGCAGGTAAAACAGGAGGGTCTGAAAAGTTGCTAACTGAGCTCATGTGGCAGCAGTTATCCTGATAGAGATATCACTTGGAGTTTGCTTTCATGATAAATTAAGGAAGAAAATCTGGCAGAATAGTGATCTTTTGTGAGATGCTAGATCATGCTGAATTCACCGCGGGGCAGTTCATATTTTGGTTAGATTTATTTTACTTCTTGATTTCTCAAGCAAAAAAATTAAGCTAGCCTTGGATAAGGAGAAGCTCACTTGCAGCCCTCTGAACAACCCAGGAGTTATAAGCAATGTAGAAATGGTTCAGCAAGGTTGATGAAGAGGTATATTTAGGGCGGACCCCGATGTCAGTCCCATTGGGTGCTGTCACTTCACCCCAGTGCGGCTACCAGGAATCAGCTGCAAAAGAAATTAATTGTCGAGCTCTTTGTGACACCGATGCAGAGGAACCGGCAGAAGGAAGTGAGCCATCCTGTTCTGAAACAGACATCTCAGCTAGATGGGCTGGCGTCTGGGAGATAAGGATTAACTTAGCTTGTGAAAGCAGAGAGAGGTTTCGTATTTAATTCTGTGTGCAGCATTTGCTGAAAATAGTAATTTGCAGTCCAGTGAAAGAAGGAGGGTTAGAGAAGTCCTCTAGGTACCTATTTGCATTTATTAGACACCTCAAACCCTTCGTAATTCTGAGTCAGATTAAGAAACGAAGCATGCTGCACTGCTGAGCTAGGGAACAGGAACTGGCAGTGCCAGGCAGGGTGCAGGAGAGCTCTCTGTGTGCTGCATGTAAAGGCATCCACCCGCTGTAGGAACGTGGCTGGGATGAATGGCTCTCACTCATTTTGAAACTTTGGCATGAGGGCATTTGGCGATGTGTGGGCAGATAAGAGCAAGAAACCGTGCTGAAAACATCAGAGGTAAAAATTATTCTTAGGTAAAGATGTCAAAGAGTCAACAAATCAAACTTTTTCTGTTTTAGGCAATGAAATTTTATTGGCTCATCTACATGGTTAGAGGATGACACATCATTAAGTAAGGTGCTACCAGGAGAAGCCATTCCCAGCTTTCAGGAGAAGAACAAGGACTGGATGCTTCTTGCTAAATACGTTGAAACAGATAAAATTTACATTTTGAAGGAATTTCTAATAATAGAAGAAGGATTCAAGGATTCACCCCAAATGGGATTTGGGGTTCCCAAATGGGAATCTGGCAGTTTGAGCATTGGGCATCGAGAGAAGCAGGCAGCCGGCGCAGCTAGTACTTGGGAAATGATGATGGCAGCTTGCAGATGTTCTTGGTGTACTGAGGGCAATAGGTTGGTGGGCAGTAGGGCTGCACCGGGGGGCAGTAACGCTGCACCGGGGGGCAGAAGGTCTGCACCGGGGGGCAGCACGGCGTCATGTAGGTGTACTTGGGCACGGGGACCCTCTGGATGGTGTAATGGCAGGAGGGCTCCGAGTCATGGCAGGAGGAACGGGAGCCGTGGCAGGAGGTCTCGTGGCTGTGGCAGGAGGACCCGCGAGAGCACATCTTTATGGAGTGTTGGCAAAGCTGTAGGAAGAAAAAGAAAGATGTCATGCTGGTACAGCAGCTCCTGCTTTCCCTAATTTGCACCAGAATTCCTTGTTTTCTTAATTTCTAGATCCTCACGAATAATGATTTCAATACTGCTTAGATATTGGGAGGTGATTTCCATCCCTTCTGCATTATTTACATGACATCTAACAGATATTAGTGAAAAGATTACACCAAATGTGCATAGCCCATAGGCAGCTCCAGACCCTCCAGTGCTTTGTCTTCAAAAACTTCACAAATATTTTTCATAAAGTTCTTTCTCTGTCTTTCTCTATCTTTTTTTCTTTTTTTTGTGCCTGTACCCACAAATCTATATTCCCCTTGTCATTTTTGTTAATAAAACAGCTTATGTGGGTTACAACAACTTGGTCTCTACCATGACCATGGTCCAGAGTAAAGGAATTGGTACTGTGCTCCAGTTCTACCAAAGCTTGTATGGAAGCAGATGATTTCATAGAGAAACTGAGGAGAAACAGAAAAATAGACTCACCCTTTCAGCAACAGGAATGGAGATGTATGTGAGCAGAGGAGCAGATGAGGGAAACCAGGGTGAGAGAGCTTTTATACTCTTCCAAAGGGTTATCTGGGACATGAGACATCTCTCGGCAGGTGAAGCATAATTACACATCCCAGCCCATTTCTATCTGCTGTATTCAGCTTCCGACATTTTCCCTTTGATGCACTGTGCTTTTAGCATTCTAATTGTCCCATGGGTTATTAATAGTGCCTTAATTCCTTCACCTCCCTATGAAAAAGATTGGAAGGTATTTTGTGCAAAGTGACGCCAGTGCTGGAGATCCTAATAGATCAGGTCATGGGCAGTGAGCATCCAGCGGAAGCGACATTCGTAATGCAGAAGCATCGTTTCTTCAAGCTGTGCTGGGATGTCACATGGGACAAGAGCCAAACGTGATCGCATGTCCATGTGAAAGAAAACTGATTATGAGTGGCAGCTCGTGGGGATTATGCTTAGGGCAGGAATATTCTCACTGAATTGCTCAATGGGACCGGAAACTTTAATGAGAGATTTGGAATTAGCCCTAAGAAGTTCCTTGTTTCTAATTTCAACCTGTCTTTATGGAATGTCCTAACAGTGATATTTCTTTTTTTTTTCTCTAGCTGTATGTGTTGGCTTTGCCTAAATGTGCAGCACTGTGCTAATGGCAGTGATACCAAACCCCAGAGCGCAATGGTTTGAGGTTCACCCATTGGTCTTAGATCCCGCTCATCTTCCCATAGGTGCAATTACTTTCCATTCCAGGTTCCCTTTGTCCTTCTTTAATTTATTCCTATTATCTCTCAGCGCTTTAAATGAAACACCTTTAGTTTAATTTGGAGAAAAGTTTACGAGTTGAGGTGGTAATAAGATGGGTCACGTTCCTACCTCCATAGCAAGGCTGAAGATCTTCAGCTTCACGGTATTGAAGGTGACCCATGAACTTTTAGCTGGGACAGAGCCTTTCTGGTGTTGCTGTCCCACTTCCAGCACTCAGCCACAGCATTTCTGCAGTTCCTGTGGAAATACACAGGGATGGAGCTGTAGCTTAAGAAAAACCACACAATCCATCCTGCTGTGTTGAAGGTGCACGCTTCCCAGTGGATTTTCCCCTGAATCATGGGTGAACCCCAGGGTTCCTTCCCATTTCTCCATACAGGTCATGCCCATTCAACCCACCAATTACAATTTCTTGTCATATAAGAGGCAAGAATGTGTCAGCACCAGGATGGCATTGCGGGATTAGGCGTCAGGAAGAACTGATTCTGGGTGATGCTCTGCTGAATCACCGCCATCCCTTGGACCGCCCTATTTGTGTCTGTGCAGTGGTATCACAATGTACATCACGGATCTATAAATACTTCTTTCCAAAGTTTTATTTACCTCTCAGCTGGTGGATGCCTTTAGGAATACGCGGTCATGCGCAGGAATAAATCTGTTGTCATATTACAGAGAGGTAAAAATAAAGCAGGTGAGTCAGATGTTGAGAAGGAAAAGCAGCAGACGAAAGGCTGTGGGCAGGGGATGGCAAAGCCTCAATTCTCCAACTGTGCCTCACACTGAGGTCTCTATAAAATCTCCTCTCCCAGCCCATTCCCTGCAGTTTGACCCCACCTGTCCCCCCATACCCGTGTTGTAGGCAAAGATATTGGATTGGACTGATGGTTTATAGTAACTTATTTATAGACTCCAGCTCTGTTTACTCCCTCCATACAGACCTGACTCTGTCTAAATCCAAGCACCTTGTTTACTGTAAATAGTGCAGGCAGGAGAGACCTTCTGTGGAATACTCCTTATTTTCTCCCTGATAAACACACCTAATAATGGCATTCAAAAGGTGCTATCACTCAGACAAGGACAAAACAGGACTGAAAGAAGTCCCAGTTTACTGTAGGAAGGCTCTCAGTATGGCTTATCTCTCACCTGCTTATCTCAAAGGGTAGCAGAGCAAAAAGTGACAGGAAGAGATGTGCTCTGGGAGCACTCCTAGCCTCTTTCATTTCTGGTGGCTCCTTTAGGTTCATTGTGCTTTTCCTGGCCCGTTTCTTTTCCCCTCCTCTGCTGCTGACTGGGCTGAGCCATCCCCAGGGAATGCTCTTGGCACTGAGTTGTGATGGTGTTGTGATGACAGGAGGAAAGTGAGAATGGTTTCTCGCTGGATTGGCACAACCCGCTTCCAGCTTCCCTTCTCAGCACTGTGAGCTGAGATAATAGAACCCCAGCTCAGGTGAGATTTGCTGTCTCCACTCCCCACCTCCTCCTCCATCCACTGACACAACACATCGGGCACGTACGTGAGAACTTGGACTGCTTTAAAAGCACAAAGATAGGAGATTTTATCTCCCCTTCCCTCAAATGCTTTCAGTCAGGCTCAGGCCCGACTCAGAGCCTCTGTCTGCTTTGGTTTCATCCCAGGATGGGTTTGGCACCTGGGTGGCCATGGGACAGGTGATTGTGGCACCATGCAACATCCCCCAGTTCTGTGCTGCACGTCTCTGACCCCTTCACCTGCAATCCTCAATGGGAACGATGCACCTCATCGCTTTAATTAACAGTAATAATAAAACAAGTGTTAATAATAAGCTTCTTGTTTCTTTCAAAGGCTCAGTGCTAAGCCTTCGTTAATTAAATACCTGGCACATTACACAGCGCACGGCTTTCAGCCCACGGAGGCATGAATTTTGGCAGCCTCTGCGCTGTTGGATGCTGGAGAAGAACTTGAGGATGAGCACGGAGCAATGGGAAATACAGCTCACCATTTGATATTCCTGTTTTTCTACCCCTTCTAGGAAAGTTCAGCCCTTTTCTGGATTCTGCTGAGAAAATTCAGGTGTCTTTTTTTTTCCTTTTTTCCCCCCTCATTTCTATGTGATGCTCAGTCATGAGTTTGCAGTTCACAATGGGAGTCAATGATGAGTACACAGCCTGACTTATACCCAAGGGGCTTTTTGCAACAGCTGATATTTCATCAAGGCAATACAAACCCTTGTTGGCATTTTCAGAGGTAGAGTGAGCTTGTGGAAATAATCTAACCAACCCCATATTCTTGATATAGAATAGATCAGAAGGAAGATTAAATAGAACCTGGTCCTTTGCTTATGCCCACTTGTTCATGGTCACCAGTGAGTTCCAGGCTTCCTAAATGGAGCCATGTAAGGAAAACCCCGTATTGCAAATCCAAGGCTTTGTTTTTAGCTCTTTCAAAACGTGCCAGGACTCTGAGCCCCAGGGCCAGGCATTGCACAGGGTGGCTTTAACATTCAACCCAAACAGTTTTGCCCAGCCTGGCATCTGGATTTGTCTGGCAAATGCGCAAGGGTGGGGACGGAAGCCTTGACGCATTGCTGCAATGGGAAGTGGGAAGCAGACTGCAACGTGGAAGGCAGCTTTCATTCACAAAGCTGGGCTTGGAGATGATGCTGAAGGTGGTTAACAGTGGACACACAACGAGGACACCAGCACGTTTTGTGTTACATTTTAATATCACATCTTTGCTACTGGATACAGAAGCAGGAAAATAACGGATACAAATGCAAGAGGGCAAATCACATTTCTGATGTGCCAATGCCACGTCACAGCGTCAGGAGAGGCAATATGTGCTGGAGAGAAGGGGCAGGAGCTGCCCCTGCTCAGGGCTGTGCCCTGCAGAGGTGAGGGATGAGCATAGCCCCTTCACTTCTGCTGCTGCGTGGGCCACTGCACCGGCTGCTTGATCTGCTGCTGCTGCTGCTGGCATGGAACGGGAGCCACGGGGCCCTGAGCGGGCACGGTGACCACGGGGCCCTGAGGCTGCAGGACCACCACGGGCGTCACGTCCTGCACGGCGCTCACTTCGTGGCAGGTGACCTCCTCGGAGCCATGGCAGGAGGAACCCCCGCTGTGGCAGGAGGAGCTCTCGGAGCTGTGGCAGCCTCTGTCAGCACGGGAGCACATCTTCGGTCAGAGCAGGAGCACTGGGAAGAAGAGCCTTGTGTTGAGATGCACACACCTTTCCACGCTCTGCTTTGCATTCAGATTTCCTCCGCGTGTTTCCATACCCAGCAGGATCGACTCCTCTACCCATCCCGCTTCCCCACTTTGGGGCTTTGCTCCCACATCACCACCCCACTCAGTCCCCCCACTGTCACCCTGATCTCCATATCATTCAAGCTTCACATTCCTGCTCTTTCTCGGTGCACCTCACAAGCACTCGTGCAGGATGTACTGCAATAATCCATGCCAGGAGGAGCAGATGCGCTGTCTGCTGTCAATCTATATTGCAGCAGCACTTGGACAAAAGAACCTCAAAATGGGATTCCCTTGCACAGGTGGTAAATTTACAGCCAGGACTGGTGGTATTGGAGACACAGCAGAATACATTTTCAAAGCCAGGTGCTCAAAATGAAGGAACTCCTGTGCCTCCCTCCCTCCTTGTGCCCTCTTCATTCTCTGTGTGCTCTGCAGACCCTCGGCTCATTGCTGCCTGATGCACCAGGGCACGAGGAGCACTCTATGCACACATCTGACCCTCTGGGAGGGAGCAAGCCCCTGGGGCTGACATTGCAAGAAGGCAGGAGGCACACAGGCTGTGCTCATAGAGCTGGAGGCTCTCTGGGCTGCTCCTGCCCCTCTGAGATTAGATCTGCCTTCTCCGTTGTTTCCTGGACTTCTTCAGGGAGAGCTTAATACTTACAACCCACAAACATTTACATTTTCTAACGCGGCTTAGTGAAGGAATCCGGCTCATTAATGCAATTAAAGCCCCATCTCTCATTCATTCCCACATCCCCTGCTTTACTCCTTTTATTTCCAGCCCATCCTTTGATAACTAGAAACCTGAAGCAACTCTGTCCTGGCAACAAATTTTGCTTCCTAGCAGAGGCAGATAGAGAGCTGTGATGGAGCAGAATTGCTTCTGCCCATGAAGCAGAATCTCCATAATCTCAGCACCTGCAGAAGGAGCCATTCCTGTAAGAGCACAGCACAGCTCCATTCTGCACATTTCCCTGGCAATGCAATGTTGGCCATGCAGCAATCACTCACCTTGTCTGGAAAGGTTGTGCAGAGGGAACGGATCCGAGTGAATGAGCTCCTCTCCCATTTGGGAACTTTTATACGGTTCCTTGCTCTCTTCCTGAAAACCCCTGGGGAAAATGACCAACATATTTACAAAACAGCCCCACCTTAATTACCCACACCTTCAAAAGCTTATTCAACCTGGTTCCTTTGATTGACTTGTCATACGGTAGATTGTCTTCCTTGTGTTACACAGCTTTAATTGCCACCCTGCCCCACATGGGTTGTAATGCACGAAGAGTGAAAACCGTGTGGGTGGCTTGGCTGTCTCACTGTCATGCCAGGATGAGTTTTCTATTGCAAAATGGATGGCAAAGGTGGCAGATTTTGGATTTCTGCCTTGATGAAACCTCTCACCTGAAGCCTGGGGAGGAGGAGAAGTGATGGTGCAGGGTGGGGGTCTTCCTCCAGTGCCAGATATGAGGCACTCTGTTAGAAAGTTCTCAGCACACATCCCCTATGAACATCCTCCAGGTATTCTCATCCATCAGACATCTGGAGCTGTCAGCCAGCAGTGTGGCTCTGCAGTGCCGCTCTTGTACCCCTCTGTCTGCCTATGTCACTTCCTACAGCAATCAAAGGAGGATAATGAAGCGGGGGCATTGGGCATACTGAGAGCTGCAAAGCCTTGGTTTAAATCTGTGAATAACGCCTGCATGCATCATGGTTCCTCTTCTCATCTTCCTTCCATTTGTGCCTGATTTTTACAGCCATTCGCTGGTATTGACACAGTAGCCACTAATATTCATTGCCTATGTTTTTATCCTGGCCAACACTGGCAAGCATTGAACAGAATTGCTCTTTTAAAATATCTATTTTTATACTTCTTGATCTTTTCCCCTGACATCTTTGCCTGCAGCGGCCGTTGTCCGTGATGGGAAACGCGCACCGACAGCCGCTGACTGAGCAAACCCCAGGTGTGAGCAAGCTGTGAGCAAGGCGCTGAGGTCAGGGCCTGCCACCCAGCTCACCCCGCTCTTCCCCGGTGCTCTGGGTGCAAAGCAGTGGCTGTTGCAACCCTGGCTGCTCACCGGGCCCTGCAATCCCAATGTGTAACCACATTTCACCACTACTTACTCAGCTCCTGGCCCAGGGCTGAGCTGCAGCAGCCCTGATCTCTCCTTTTCCTGACCATGCTGTGCTGTTACAGCAGCATTCAGTGCTTTTACTTGTTTTGCATCTCAGCTCCCTCTGCAATCGTGAGGTTTTGGTGGTCTAAGATTGATGGAACCTCAGGATTAGCTCCCACTCACTATCTCCAAAGCCATTCCTTTAGTTTCTATCCAGAGGCATCGCGTGGGACTTTCATCCAGCAGCCAGAATCCTGTTGACGGTTCATCTTGCCTATTTACAAATAGAAGCAGAGTGACTATGGCTTTTGCAAGCAGCAACATGCGTAGGGATGCTATCGCAGAGCTGCAGCCATGAGAAGTGAATGATTCCTCCCTGCATGAACAGTGAGCAGGAGGAAATGTGCAGGTGTGAGAGAGTGCACCAGCTGTACTCTGCATCTCTCCAGATGTGGAGGGAGAAGCTCCATTTGTTGGAGTGCAAAGAACAGCAGAAGGACACAGCCCTGGCAGCACAGATACAAGAGCATCCTCCTCTGCTGGATTCATTTAGTATTATGTTCCAGCTCATTTATTACCTAAGCTTGTGCAGTACTTTTTGAGAGGAGCCTCAATGAACCGAACAAGTGGGACAGGGAATTAGAAGTGGACCTTTCAAGTATTTTTTCCTTTTTTTTCCTTTTTTTTTTTTTTTTGAGGTGTGTAAGATTTTGGAGTGGTTTTAAGCCAGTTTGTTGAATAGATGTCTGTGGATGCTGTGGGCTTTATTAGGTTTTGGAAGTTGTTGGATCTTTCTGAGTGTTCCGCTCCCTCTGATCCCAGCAGACGAAGCAGGGAGAACAAGAGGAACCAATAATGAAGTGTTTGATTTGAGAAATATGAGTAGATGCCAATAAATGATAATGCTGTCTAATTTTAGAATGGAACTTATTATGGCGGGTGACAAAATCTTGAGTAATGCTCCCGGCACCACAGCTCTCCATCTTACAACACTTGGCTGTGTGCAGGTGCCCATTGTGACACTGAGCATAGGGCTGGGAGCTGCAGTGTTGTAGGAAAAATAGAATCATAGACTCGTAGAATCATGGATGGACTGGGTTGAGAAGGACCACAATGACCATCAGTTCCAACCCCCTGCTATGTGCAGGGTCACCCTTTAGCAGATCAGGCTACCCTGAGAACCCATAGGGTGCCATAAGGATCCATAGGGTGCCATAGGGACCCATGGGGCACCATAGGGACCCATAGAATTATTGACTCATAGAATAGCCTGGGTTGAAAAGGACCACAATGCTCATCTAGTTTCAACCCCCTGCTATGTGCAGGGTCACCAACCACCAGACCAGGCTGCCCAGAGCCACATCCAGCCTGGTTGGAGCTGGAAGAGGCAGAATCCTCCTAGGTGGGTGAAAAAAGAAATGGCAAAAGATATTTTACAATGGAGCTGTGTGCCTTTTTCTCTCCCTTTAAGCGGGTGCAGAGCTATGGGTGCTTTTTGTTCCATTACTAATATTTGTAGAGAGCAATCCTGGAGCTCTAAATATTTGGCCAACGCCATCACTTGAGCACCTCTGCTCTGAACCATCAGCTCAGCACGGAGGAACCATCCTCTCCCTCCTCCTAAATTAGAGCCTGATCCTATCGCACAGTGCCACGAAGCAGGTTGCTGCGAGCAACAAAACCAGCTCACTGGAGTTGCCTCACACTGTTGGTGCAAGCACATGTCTACGTGCTCAGCTTACGCCATCTCCTGCAATCTGCCGGATGGGGGCTGGCCATGAAATTGGTCCCAGTAAACAGAGCTGCATTCTCAAGGTCACGTAGTAAATAATAATCATGGGGAAATCACCTGGGTGTTCTGCAGCTCTGCTCGTAGGGGCCGGGCTGCATGCAGTGCTGAGGGGCCCCACTGGGAATGTGAGAGCAGCATGAGGGGCTCTGATGTCTGCCAGAGCCAGGAAGCAGCTTTTCCTGCTGTTATAAACGGTGTATTTTAATTGTGTTAAAATCAACGTGACATTTAATTAATTTAGTTATAAAGTACATATCGTATCAATAGGAAAATCAATCTTCTGTAGCCCATCTTGAAGTGATCTCTTTGGGTGTCTTGTACATATGTCAAATGAAGGAGGGAAGAATGAAGCAAATTATCCTGATGCTGATGTTTCTATAGAGCCTGAGGTTTGATTTCCCAAACCAAGAGAAAAATGAGAAGAAGGAAGGAATCTTTTCCCAACCTATGAGAAAAAGGAGAAGGTGGAAGGGATTTTTTGCTGTCACTGATGCACAGATCTCCTTCCCGATGCTGGAAAAACAGCCTGATGGGAGGAATGCAGAGCTCCTTGTCCATGGCAAAAATTGCAGGGTGGCACATCTGGAGCACAGAGTGAGATCTGTAGGGTCCTTCATTTCTTCTGGCTGGGGGGCCACTGGCAGCTCTGCTTGATCTGTTGGGGCTCAATGTCGGGGATGACTACAGGGCACTTCTGCTGCATGACCTGTGCCATCCCAGCACTTCCAGAGCTGAGCTCTCCCCCGGTGCCATAGCCCGATACTCCACCATACAGCCCTTGTCCAGCACTTGTGCTTACAGCCTTTTGTCTCTGAGACGCATCATACCCACAGCCAGAACCTCTCCCAGCACCCAATTTCCCACTGTAGCATCCTGATCCTCCACCACCTGCTGAACCACCAACCATACCCCAGCCTGTGTCCTCAGTGCCATATCCCACCGCCCCCTGGGGGCTGTAGGTTGGGACTGTCCCTCCCGTCGTGCTCCATCCAGATGCCCCCTCACTATCACCCCCAGATATTACAACAACCCCATCGCTGCCAGGCGTGCACCCCGCTGTGATGCTGTAGGGGAAGGATGTGGGTGCAGCTCCCCGGCTGTAGATGATGGAGCCCTCTCCGCTGCAGAAGATGGAGCCACGTCCCTGCAGGCTCCGAGTGTCCCCATAGTGTGAGGAGATGCCATTGCTGTAACCCCTGTTCTGGCGGGAGCATCTCCCTCGGAAAAATTGAAAGATCTGAAAGAGGAAAAAGAAAACAACACCCATTAATGCTTCATTTTTACACCATGGCAATGTCCCATGACAATGCTCTGCTCTTTTTCAAATAGGAAAACATTTACTGGGATGGCTTTTCTGTTTCCTATCTCTAGGCTGCGTTTCTGGAGAATCGAAAGCTGAACTAATTTAATACCTCAGAACTGCTGCAGTTTCCCCCTCTCAATCCTCAGGCCGAGCTGTAAAGATAGCACGGATTATCCCTGATTCTGCTTTTAAAGTGTTGCAAGAGCTGTGTATCAGGATTTCCAAGCCAGGCGACATTGCTGGCTGCATTGTTGTATCCATTGCATTCCCAATAGGCTTTAGATAAGCGGCACAGCTGTGAGAGGTGCGTAACCACCATGAAGGACAACACAGACTTGTCATTAAACCATATCAAAATGATGTCTCGCACCTTACAAACATGTTGGAAGCATTGATGGTTCTGCTGGTCCCAGTGTGCTGAGCCCACCACAGGCTTAGCTGGGTGTTCAGCCTGCTTGTGGCTCCCAGTGGTCTGATTTCACCTCTCCTCCCAGCAGCAAAATGGGAGTGCAATAATGGATGCACCATAGCTAGAAGCACCAGAACGGTGCTAAGGATGCTCAGGCAGTGGGGTACTGTTGCAGATACACCCCGAGATCCCAAATGAAGCCATCCAACTCCCATGAATATGCCATCATAAAGCTGCAGAAAAAGCAGACTTACCCTCCTCAGCCATCGGAAACACATTTAGAAGATTAAAGTTGACTGAATGAAGAGCTTTAAGACACGGGAACTTTTATATGGCGTTTAGCATAGATGGGAAGTGAGACATCCTGAGGAATGACAAGGATTTATTTACCAATCAAATACTGATCTCAGTGTTTGCTTTGACTCATGACAACTGATCAATATCTCCTCGTTGTCCTGCATGCGGCAGTAATTGCTACTCCTGCTTAATAACCCCATTTTTCTGCTTAATGACTCTATTCTTGTGCTCCTGCCCTGAACGAGGACCGCTGCGAGGCAGATCTGCTGGGGGAGGTGGGTGGGAGTGTGGGTGTAAGAGATGCTAAGCATGAGGATTGGTGCATGCAGGACAGAGGGTGTCAGTGAGCGGAGAAGGGGCAGAAAGATGTGGTTTAGCAACATGGCACCATTTGCAACACAGCATCACTGCAAGGGCAGATGGGGTCAGCGGGTACCCAGGATGGAGGGGATGCAGCACAGGGCTGCACACAGCACCTGATCTCTCCATCCTCTCACTGATGGCTCCATAGAGGCGTTATCTAAAGAGGACATTTGCATTTGAATCGGAGTAAAGCAGCCAGTTTGGGTGATTTGTGAGGATGCTACAGGGAAAGGTTAAGGATCCTGGAGATCATTTCAGAGATTTAAATGCCAAACACCTAAACCCACTGTGGCAGGATTATTCCTGGCATGGAGGAATCACCCACCAGCTGCCTTCCTTCTGCATCTACCTGTGCTGTGCTCTTGGGAAGACCATGGAGCAACAGGATCCCCACCAGGATGTGCTGGGGATGTGCAGTGGCTGTGCTGGTCCCACTGCCTTGCATGGTGTCCACAAAAAGTCTCTGTGCTCAGCTCAGCTCATGGTGCCGGACTAGATCTCTTCAACCCAGAGCCATTTCCTCAGAGGGGCAGTGAGTTCCAGCTTTGGCAATAGGCCACATTTACAGGACAGCGAGCAGCACAAAGAGGTGGTGCTGCTGCCCTCAGCATTTCATTTCAAAGCAGGTTTCCAAAAACGGACAAGGAGGAATTAAGGCCTGGAGGCATAGTGTGGTGTGCTTTCACAGCCTAAGGGCTGTGCTGCTGGCTTTATTTCCTTCTGCTGGCCCAGGGATCATTCAGCCAACGCAGTGTGCGAGGCTTTCCTCTGGGTAGAGCTGCTCTGAGTTTTGCAAAGCTGGGTGGGAAGGTGTACTGCAAGGACATGGACATTGGTATGGCATTGGGCCACTTTGGCAGTGATAACTGCTAACGTGGACTGTCCCTGCTTCAACTGTTTCAGGTTGGAACCCAACAGCCTCAGCTGCACCATCCAGCAACTCTGTGTTGCTACATGGACATCAACATTGGGTGCTGCTGCCCCAGAGGAATCAGAGCCATGAGCTGGGGTGACAGTAAAAGGGAAACACCAGTGCAGGAGTCAAGCAGATGATGGAAGCTGTGGGTGTTTGATGCTTTAGGATATGTTGTTGCTCTACTTTGGAGCCCAGAGGAAAAGAAAGGTGCAACATTCCCCTGGACTCAATGGTGCATTGGCTTTAGATATGTGACAATGCACTGCAGAACTTCGCAATGGAGGACTCAATTATCAGATATATTTCTTGCTACCAAGATATTGAGAGGCTGTGTGAAAAAGCAAGAAAAAAGAAACTCAAAAATAAGTCTACTTTGGAAAGATATTTATTAGGTACTACATATGCTCATTGAAAACAGAGCAGAATTTGAACAAAGAAGTCAAAACAGCATGGGGCAAAAGGCTGTTAGGCCCAGAGTTCATGGCATAGCAATGGAGCATAAAGGGTCCAGAAGAGGACACATGGTAGGGAAGCAGACAAACATGGGAAAGAGGACAAGGCAGCAGAAAAAGGAAGGGCTGTTATTGCTGAGTGCTGGGCTGCTGGGAGCATTCACTTCTGCTGGCCGGGGAAGTAGCAGGCCTGCTTGGTCTGGTAGCTCTCGATGTGAGGAATGACAATGGGGCATTTCTGCTGTGAGGACTGGCCGTACCCACCACTGCCTCCTCCGGAGCTGATGATGATGGTGCCGCTCGAGGAACCTCCACTGCCCCCACCGGATCCCCCAGTGCAGCATCCAGAGGATCCACCACTGCTTCCACCTCCTTCAATGATGATCTTGTCGCCGGAAGATCCACCACTGCTGGATCCTCCACCACAGCATCCAGACGAACCCCCTCCTCCACCTCCAGAGCTAATGATGATCTTCCGGCCTGATCCCCCACTGCCGTAGCTGGAAGAGCCATAGCCAGAAGAGCCACCACCGTAGCATCCAGACGATCCTCCACTGCTCCCACCTCCTGAAATTATGATCTTGCCACCTGAAGATCCACCACTGCTAGATCCCCCAACACAGCATCCAGAGGATCCACCACTGCTCCCACCTTCTGAAATTATGATCTTGTCTCCTGGAGATCCACCACTGCTGGATCCCCCACCACAGCATCCAGAAGATCCACCACTGCTGTATCCTGTTCCCATGCCATAGCCTGAGGATCCTCCACTGCAGCACCCAGACGATCCCCCACTGCTCCCACCTCCTGAAA